CCCCTCTGCTCTCCCCGCTCCCCTCCCCCGCCAGCCTCCCAGCCGCTCTGCACTGTACTGGGTGATTTCCGATTTTTGATTTTTGACTGGGAACAGACTTCTTCTTTTCAGATCTTTCCCAGACTTACTCCCATTAGTAGTAGATGATCTCCAGATCTTCCCTCCTGCGCGGAACACATATTTGGAAAGGAATGTTTTGTGTTTTGTTTTTTTTTTTTTAACCAGTACAGTACATGATGATGGCACTCCTTGTGGGGAGCTGGTACTTGCACATGACACGTTTCATTCTGTTTTCATGCTCTCTCTCCCCACTCCGTCTGGACTCCCTTCACATTTGAAAAAGATCTCCCTGCTTCTTAGTATCTTTTATCTTGCTCTTTATATAATTTTGTGTTTCTCATATAAGAGAAACCATGCGGACATTTAAGTCTGTCTGATATATTACACTTAAAGTTATAGCCTCAGGGTAAATCCATTTCCTACAAATGACTCAAGATTATCATTCTTTTTGCCAGAATAGTAGTTCACTGTGCAGTAATACAGTACCACATTTTCTTTATGCATTCATCTGTTGATGCATGTATAAGCTGCTTCCAAGAGTTAGCAGTTATGAATTGTATTGCTAACGCAAATTAAATCAACACTGAGATTCCATCTTACTCTAAAAAGAATGGCAGTCATCAAGAAATCAAATACTAACAAAGGAATAATAAATGCTGGTTGGGGGCTGCCCTTTTGTACTGGTGGGATTGTAAACTGGCACAGCCACTATGGAAATCAGTATGGAGATTGCTCCAGAAGCTAAAACTAAATTGCTCCAGAAACTAAAACTACAAATTCCACCTGACCCAGCTAGTCCCCTTCCAGACACTTTCCTGAAAGAATTAAAGACATATTACAGTGGAAATGAATTCTTGCATAACTTAAATTATGGATTAAAGAAACGTGTATTTTGCCAGATGTTCATGGAGTGTCATTACCACTCTTACCTCACACAACCTTGAACAAAGCATTCATTTCATCTTTTTTGGGCACTGTTTGCTTACTTGGACCTGACCTTGAGGGATATAGCTGGTGGTTCTCCTGCCTAACAGTGATTAGGGTGGGATAATATTGTCCTCTCTTATATTTTCTTCTGGTTATTAGCATTGGCCTTGGGATACTTAGTGTTGAGGAAAAAGCCTTTTGTCTGTATTGTCTGACAAGTTGACATTCAAATGCTATTCCAAGCGTTTATTTTAAAGACCTTGATAAAGTTGAGATCATTTATTTCTTAGCTATTACATTTTCATTCATGTGTGTATCTATAATGATTGAAGTTAGCCAGGAAAGTGGGTGGGGTGGGCTAGAAAGGGCTAATAAAAGCAGCAGTAAAAAGTAGTAGCTCTTGGCCTTATCCTGCTGTCTGCCTCTATTTATTCTCTAGGCTTCTACTTAGGACTATAAAAACCACCAAATCATCACAAATGATCTGGTTTTGGACTTTGCATTTTCTGCCTGACGTTAGGGCTGTGGCAAGGAGATTTGGGATTTTAAATGAATTTTCTGTAGACATACTGTGCAAGATGCTTTCTGTTGACTTTTTTTGGGCGCGGGGGGTGGGTGGGTGGGGGTCGTTTCCCGGTACCGGAAGTCGAACTCACAACTTGCGCTTGCCAGGCGGGCGCTGTGCCACTGAACTAAATCCCCAGCTCCCTCTTTGTTGGTATTTTAAAACTTGGCACAAGCTCACTATATTTAAAGCTTTATATCTGAGTGCACTTGACAGAAATTATCATAAGTGCTTAACAAACTCTCCCATAGGTTAAGTCAGGATACTTTTGAAAGTGAAAGGGGAACTATTATGCCAGAATTACAGTTTTAGCTTCCTGGTTAGTGATTATTATCATGTCTTGGGGGCTAGTAGCATGTCCAGTTTGAGTCTCTCTGTCTCAGGTTTCCCCAACTGTTCGGAGTAGTTTTTCTGTAGTGGTGGTTTGGTTAGTTCAGTGAAAATCTCCGCTTAAATGTCAGTGCAGACCTCGTCCTCCTGTAGCCATTCACTCACCATTTAACAAATCACTCTTTTTACTGCTGAGCATCTTGTTTTTCCTCAACTGTCAGGTCCACAACCTGTTGTCTTAGTGTTAGTGACTGGAAATATATAGCTGGCACATAATGGCACTTGAAAAGTTTGTGGAAAGGAGTTATGTTGGACCCTACCTACATTTTAAACAAAAAAGTATCAGGTACTTTTCTGTATGCTTACTTCTGGTTAATATAAATGAAACCAACTACAATACTGTACTATACATTGTGATAACTGATAGTACTCATCCCCTACTTTAGTTCCACTTCCTTTTTAGGGAGAAGGAGCCAAGAGTGTAGCGATTTGTGAAAGTACTCTGTACAGAGACTTAAAAATGCAGGTACCCACAGGAGCAATAAAGCTAGGGAACTCATTACCTTGGACTATTGTTTAAGCCAAATAGATTGAATTTATTATCTTAGGATGATAAATTCTTACATAAATCTGGGATACAGCTATAATCTGCAGATTTTTCCTTACTGGGGCACATTTGTGAAGCTATTAACTTTCAGAGGTTACAGAGCCAGGTGATTGGACATTTGTTGTTACCTCCTTAGTGATAGCTAATATTGTGAACAGAATAGTTTCGTTTTCCTAAACCTCCATTCAATTCCCTCACAGTAGCATTTTTTCAGTAATAGTGCTTTAAAGTAGTAGTTGACTAGAATGTTGATGTTCCTTTTTCTAACCCTTAATACCATGTGCTGCTTTTAGTAAAACAGTAAGATGTTAAGTACCTATGAGCATGCACTTGAACAGCCTGTAATTAATAAACAAGCAAGGTGTGCTGTTGTGTAAATAAATGTAATTGTAGTTTGTACTGAGTCATTTGATGCTTCTAATAAAACACTATAAATGAGTCTTACTTACAAGCAATGTTTTAAGAGCCAGTATATGACTGCTAGTCTTTAATTAGTATATGATATATTCTTGAGGTAAGAGAGGTTCTGTTTATTTCAGGTATTTCCAGAGATTTGAGAAAACCATTAAAAACCTTACCAACTGGTATTTCCCCCTGTTATGTATAGGTTTCCCAGGCAGCTGCAGACTTAAAACAGTTCTGCCTGCAGAATGCTCAGCATGATCCTCTGCTGACTGGAGTATCCTCAAGTACAAATCCCTTCAGACCGCAGAAAGTCTGTTCCTTTTTGTAGTCAAAAGAATTTTTGAGAGGTAAGTTTTTTACTTAATAACTCACATAGTAGGAATAACCATTCATGTCTTTATTTGCAGCAGTTAAAAGATCATCTCATGCATTTCCATTTGGTACTCCAAGTTGCCAGTCTTAAGGAAAGTAAGGATTGATGAAAATTATTCAACTGTTTGTCATCACAAAGAGGTTAAATAGAAGACTTAATAATTATAAAGGGAATAGGGGAGTTACTATAAAACAGTGCTGCCATGTGGTGTTCTTTGTAGCACTGGCCTAATGGCATTTATATTTTGGAGTCTTTTTTTTTTAATGTAGCTAGCAAACATTTAGACAGTGTTTATTGAGAAGACTTTTAAGGTATTACCAATTGATTTGGGTTAATTTTGATGTTGCTGCTGTAATAGAACCCTGCTATGGGATAGTATAGCAAAAAATTGAGAAATGCGAAGCCAGGGGATAACTGAATAACCTGATGTGCAGCATTTGGGGTGAGGAATAACAAGTTTTTCTTTTTAGTCTGATATTTTTGGCAATGATAAAACATGAGAAATAGGACGTTTTTGGCAGCAGAGAGTGGACTGCACTTCAGAGGATTAAAAAACTTGACCTTTATTAAAGCATGCTTCTGTGTATTAATTAGTATTTTTCAGATCTTATACCAGGTGTGCAGAGTTTTGCTTGTCCAGAAGAAATGTGACCAAAAAAATGTGCTTTGGATGATTTAAAATTAATTTAAAGATTCTGTCTTTTTTAATCCTTTGTATTTAGGGTGTTACTCACTAGTTGTGAAGTATGGGAAGCAAATTAATAGTGCTTTAAGAAGAGATTTTGCATATGACACCCACTATGACTTGAAAAGTCCAGGAAATTGCTTCCTTAAATACCTTGTTAAATAGATGTACTCTCCCTAAGTAAGCTTTATAGACTCGAGTGTCCAAAAATGATATAAATACAACATGCTTCCAGTAAACCCAGAATTGATTAACATGGCAAAAATATTTCGAAATACCGGAAGGTTTTGGCTTTTTTTTTTCCTTTTTCTTTGGACAGAGTCTGCTGTAGTTGGCTAGCCTTGACTATACCTATGTATCTATCATCTTATACCTATCTCTCTATCATCTGTCTGCTTCCATCTCAGACCTTGAACTCTTCTGTCCTTCTGCCTCAGTCTCCTGAGTGCTGGGGCTGTAGATTTGTGCTACCATATCTGGCTAAGAAGTAATCTTTTTAATAATCTAGCACCTTCATATTTAACAGTCTATTATTTCCTTGATTCTGGCAATACGTATTTAATTTTTCATGGATGTTTTTAGAAGTTTCATATTGTTGTAGTTTATTAATTCTTTTTAAACCTCAGTTCCTATTGTATTCACTTTATAAAATGATACATTTTCATTTGTCTGAAAATATTGTTAAGCTTGAGCTGCCTATTAACAGTTTACTTTACAGGAGCCTGCAAATAAATATTTGAATGACTTGCTCAAGTTTTAACTGGGATAAGCTACCAGATTTCAGAGTAAATTAATAGGTATTAATTTCAGCAATATAAGAACATTTTGTGGATATTTTGACTCGAAACAGTTTGATCTAAGGAAACAATATTTGGGTATAAAAATACTGCTTCTCAAAACTTAAATGGGTCTACTACAAGTTTTGGTTTTATATGAATGCTCACGGTGCCAGGCCTATACTAATTCACAGGAATGTAAGACTACATTGGTGTCTTTTCATAAAGTAGCTTTTTAAAATTATATGGGTGTCTTTAAAAGAAAAAAAAAATTAGCAGCAGGCTTTGTACAAGGAAGAAATCACCATGATTGGCACACCTTAAGGTAACCACTGTTAACAGATGTATTTCCTTTTAAGAGGAAATTTTTAAAAATTGTTTTTTAAAAAATAAGGATCAAAGTTTAAGCAGTTGGTTCTTCTTTTACTTTTTGTCCTTTTGAGACAAGAGTTTCACTATGCAGTGCAGGCTGGCCTTGAACTCCAGGTGTTCCTCTTGCTTCAGTCTCCCAAGTGCTGGCATTACAAGTGTTTGCCACCATGCCCAGCACTAGTCTGCCTTTTAAAAACTTAATGGATATCCTATTTCATTTATCTCCCTTTCACCACCCCCCCATACTGGGGATTGAATCTAGAGCCTTTGCACTGAGGTATAGCCCTAGTCCCTTTAAAATTTTTATTTTGAAACGGGGTCATACGAAGTTACCCGGACTGGCCTCCAACTCATGAGCCTCCTCTATAAGCCTCTCAGAGCCGATTACAGGCCTGCACCACCACAGTTGGCTACGTTTTTTCTTAAGAGAAAAAAACAAAACAGTGAAAGAAAATCGAAACAGGAAGGTAACAATGGTTGGTACGTTGCATATTGTTATATTCTAAGTTGCTCAGATTACAAGATATAGGCATGAAAATTGATCAAACAATATAAGCACTAAACTTTCTTTTCAATGAAGAGAAATTAGGAGTATAACTATTTTCTATCTTGTGTGTGTATATTTATTTTTCCTTTTCCCTTCTTTTCTCCTTTTCCCCATCCCAAATATTTTTCATAAATAATATTTTCACAGCTATACCTTAACTGTACTTGACTTAATATTGAAATTTCCGAGTTTGAAGCTACTGTGAGACATACATCTTGGTGTCTATATTTATACTTCACCTGTCATCATTAAGATAAATTTCTACAAGTAAAATTAGTCAACGGAATGAACATTTAAGATTTTACTAAAACTTCATAACCACTGTAAATGTAAAACTTTGGTCTTCCACCCCCAGTATGAGTGGTTTTTTACTGAATGCTCGCCAAACAAACCTTGGTCTGAATGCTTTTAAAGTGGAGTTTAACCATTTTCATGTTTTTTTTCCTCCATAGCAGTAATTTTGTTTGTACCTCTTAAATTTGTTGTGAACTACCTCAAATTTTCAAAGAAGTTAAAAGATCTGGATCAAATGATTTACACCTTGTTAATTTTTAAACATAGACCACACTTTTTCTGCTTTCCATTCAGATATATGAGTGTTTTTACTTTTTACTAAATATACTTACTGTATTTCAGTTTTAAACTATAATGTTTCTGAAGGCATAAATGATGATTGGATTTTTGAGTATTATTTATCTATAGGTCATTTACTCATTTTTTTCTTGTTTTGCTTTGAGACATTATTTCTCTACGTAGTCCAACAGACTTGAACTTAGTTTTCCTACCTCATCATCCTTCCAAATGGTGGGACTGCAGGCACACGTGACATGCCCAGCTAATTTTTCAGTCACATAAACTGCTATATACTTTGTATACACTATCATATACAGAAACCTTAGTTTATTCATTCCCATACTACGTTACATTAAAGCTGTTTCCATTTCCCTGCTGTTAAAAACAGCTACAGTCATTACTCTTATACATGTTTTTTCACATAAGTTTCATCTAACTCCTTGTTGATGTTAATCATTTTAAAAGGGATGTTTATGCTTTTCTTGAGTTGAAACTTTTATATTAACCTTTTTATTATCAGAGAATGTGTTTTGCACTAATGTTACCAAGTTAATGTAAGTCTTATTTGGAAAACAGTGATAAATATAGCAGAGTGGCTATGAAAATTAAAGAGAAACTTGGATCCCCCCATCTCTGGTATTGGGTGTTGAACACAGGACTATGCATTGAGCTATACCCCTTGCCCTTTTTAGTTACGAGACAGGGTCTTCTTGAATTGCCCAGGTTGGCCTTGAACTTGAGATCCTCTTGCCCTAGCCTCCCCAGTAGCTGGATTAGAGATGTGTGCCTTCATGCCCAGTGGGAATGTTGGCTTTTACTGCTTCCTACACCACAGGCTTTTCCCATCCTATTTCTTAGGCTTTCTTAAAGACCCTGTTATGTATCTGCTTTTTTAAAAATGCAGATAAAGATACTTAATTTAATTGAAAGCCTTTGTAAATTGACATTTCAAAGAAATCCTTTAAAAATTTATATAGATGCTCCCAGGTTTATCATCTCAATACAGCCCAAGTTGAAAATACACTTAATACACCTAACTTGTCAGACATAGTAGCTTAGCAGCACAGTACATGATGGGGTATTGATTGCTAATCCTTGTGATCATGCAGCAGACTGGGAGCTGTGGTGTGCTGCCCCTGGCCAGCATCTCCACACTGTCATACTGAATATCCCAGCCCAATTTGAACTAGATTCTTCAAATATATAGTAAATGCATATAGCTTTTACACTGTCATAAAGTTGAAAAATCTTAAGTTTAGCCATTAATGGGTCAAGGAATATCCCGTACAAGATGTGCTGTTATTTACAAAAATAGATAAAGAACATAAGCAATTTAAAAACTTGAGAAAAAAAATGTGAAGGTAATTATAAATGTTCATGAAAAAAATGTAAAGAAAATCTGTATTCTTTGACACTTTACCGTAATTTATCTTTTTTTTTCTTTTCAGTTTCCCAGACCACTTTTAACCAACCAATGACTATTCTGAAAAAAGAAAATTGAAGCCTGTACAAAAACTTCCCGTTTCTTAACATGTGCCATAACACATACTTTTACTTTTGTCAGTCCTTAACATCTACCTCTCTGAATTTTCATAAGTTTCTATTTCACGAGGGTATTTTATATACACTGGTGCCAACATACAATAAAATACTTAGTATAAAATTTTTTTTGCTTTTTTATTGGATTGAAATACACTGCTTATCTGTATGGAACACTTAGTGTTTTTAGTGTTTAAGTTATTTCTTTCTCACCAATTCTATGACTTTATGCCTTTCACTTTAAGATTGCTAGAAATTAAAGTTAAGCACCAGGTGTTGTGGAGCACACCTGTAATCCTAGCACTCACGGGAAGTGAGACTGAGGCAGGAAGATGCTTGCCAAGGGGCTATGTAGTTAAAGGCTAGCCTCAACTACATGGCGAAACGTTGTCTCAAAAAACAAAACAAAGGTAAGCTACAAATCATTATTTCAAGGCTTAGAGGAGGCTATCCTTAGTACTGATTTTAATATAAATATTTCAAATACAGTAGTACCTCAATTCATGAGATTTGGTCGCAAGCCAAATTGGACAAGAATCAAGTCAATTTCCCCATAAGATCAACATTGACCCTAACCACTGAACTTGAATCAGCTGTCATACAGTTTGGTTTGTGACCAAAACCATGGGAAGAATTAAGTCGGCGAACCAGGTTATCACTATATACTCCTTTGTGGGGCATTACCAGTTACAACCCATTAGTTATTTTGGGGAGGGGGGAGAATGTACTGGGTAAAGAACTTGGGACCTCATGCTTGCCAGGCAGGTGCTGTGCCACTGAGCTAAATCCTATGCCCATTAGTTACTTTAACACTGTGGAGGATCACCTGGGTGACTAAGGAGGAGCTCTTGTCTCCACTTTGGCTGAGCCTGACCTTATCTCCATGTATTGATATGTACAGAGCTGGCCAGGATGTTTCCTTATCCTTTTAATTGGCTTTAAGCAGTGCATATCAGTACAGCCAAGGTGCTGATGGCAGTGGCAGGCATGTTTCCCTGCCCCTGCTTGTTCCCGTGTGTGAGCCCCGTCAGGGCAGTGGGGTGAAGAGCTAGTGCTCCAGGCTATTTGCTGGGATCAGCCTCAAGTTAGAGGCTATGACTTCCTGGGGCTTAAAAGATGACACATCAGAGCTCAAGCACCAGACCCTGAAACATTAGATAGTACCTCAATTGTGTTATGCATTTTTCTGCGTATGGCAGAGGTGATTTCGGGCTTCCTACATAGCCCAGCTTAGCTCACAGCAGTCATGTACTTCCCACCACTTTCACTGTCACTCATCCTCAAACCACTCCCTTCTTTACAATTGAATAAAATCCGCCTTTGGTCTTGGCTCAAGGCCTTTGTTCTGAAGGATAGCCACCATCATGGCTAGACTTAGGACCCCTTGGCTCCAAATAACTACAAGTATGCGTTAGTGTCATTATTCTCAGCAGGGGTTGCACTGGAAGTGGCAGACTGGAAATAACTCACCAGAATTCCAATAACTTCCATGGGCAGTGACAAGGACTGGGAAGGACTCTGTAATGGATGGCTCTGATCTGACAAGTACAGTAACAGGAAAGGCTGGAAACAAAAAATCCTTTAGAAAAAGAAAAACCAGAATTTGAGATACTGACTGAATGGAATGTATTTTAATGCCATGTAATGAAGTAAACAGCAAAAAGAACTTTGCTTCAAGTCCTGCTAAATCATTTTGCTTTAAACATTTACACTTCTGAAAAGTTTAAGGAAATCTCACCTCAACTTTGTGCCAGACACTGAGGATCTAAAATGAATCTATTGAATCTAGGTTACATGGTATTTATCATCCTTTCTGTGTCTTTCAGTCCATATACTCTGAAAACACAAACTGGAAAATTAATCTGAATCTTAATTCAAAAATTACCCTGAAATAAATAAATCGTAACAATTTCTAAACTCTGACTTTTATTTGTATTTGACACATACGGAATGGCAATTCATGGCAGTTGGCCATTTGTTCAGATATGAAAGTTCAAGACAGGCACGTTCTGTAAAATCAAATACTATTTATTTCCATAGTACTTTATAGATGAAATTTTCTTCGACTTGTATCCATTTCCCGGGGCTGAAAATTAGAAGACAGAAAAAATATTACAAACGATTTAGTTGACAGTAAAAATTAACTTTTTTAGGTCTTTGTGCTGAAAATGTTTGTCTCTGAGACCCCAAATAAACAGGCGTAAGCCTAATTAAAGGCATTGGGTATTACAATTTTAAAGTAAAACTGTTTTAAAAGTAAGTATGTAACACTGCTTAGTAGATAGAAAAGACTATTTTTATAAAAATATTGGTATCTTTATGACCTAAGATGATCTCCAAACTTGTATGCATCTTCTGTAACAGTAGTTCTCACAAAATACACAGTAGACTCACATTGGAAAACAGCATAGTGGGCCCCACCTCTAGCTGATTTAGTAGGTCTGGGGCCCAGGAATTTCCATTCCTATTAAGGTCCTAGTTGATGTTGCTAGTTCCACTTTGAGAACCACTGACCTTTATGCTACTTCACATAGTAAGTCACGGTTAATCATCAGATCCAGACACCTTTTCACAGTGGTGGCGAACCAATGGCAGTGTTGTTTTTAAACTACAAAAGATGTTAAAGTATGGGTTGTGTTTTTCTAAAGTATAACTTCAGTATTCAGGTTTAACTGCAGTGTTGTGGAAAAATAAGTAGATTCTGGGTTGCACTTTGGGCACTCATCTCTAAGAGGTTCACCATCACTGTGCTGTAATACGGTTCTTTCTAACTCACGGAAGAAATTCACAAGCACAGTTTAAGGTACAAATAGCCAACATGGTTAACTTTTCATTACATGTGTCAAAAAATTATTTAAATGGATTTTCAAACAGTAAGCGCATACCTTATGGACCCATTCATACTCTCCATATTTAGAGTCAAAGGTTCCTTTCTGAAGAGATCTTAATTTTAAGGTAAAACGTGGTCCAAGTTCTTGAATTCCCACTTTCTTTTCACTCTTGAATATGTACCTTCAAGGACAAGAGAATTACTCATCCAGACCAATTTCCTTACGACAGAGGCTTGTCATAAAATAGAAAATGGGTTCATATTCAAAACATATTTTATGATTGACATCGAAGACCAAGCAACTGAATATGTTCCTCACCTATGAAATCTGAAGAAAATATAATCCCGCTGATTATGGAATGTGGCAACCTGTCTTCCAATAAATTGAGGATTATGGGGAAAGAGTGAAGCAAACATACGTCCAATTGAATGACCCAGCCTTGTTGTAAAATTATTCAGAATTATTTCAGGGACGTGTTCTGTTGGGTCCTTACCCCTTCTCTAGGAAAAAAAAAAATGAAATCACAAAATTGGAAAAACACAAATTAGAAAAATCTCACATGGTTTATTAAACACATAAAGATGTATATTTTAATATGCAGTTACTGCACTAGAAAGTCCTAGAAAATATGATTTGTAGTAATGAGGACTACTGTCTGCTGTAACTCAGTCACAATCTCACAAGAAAATTTAGTAGGTAAAACTGGCTTTAATTAGGAGTAAATGTTAATAAAATTGGTTAGATCTATAAGATAAAGAATCTATGAAGTAATGTGAGATCAATACTAATGCAGTACTAAAACTTACCTTAATTTCTTTCCGAAGACGAACACTGCTCATTTTAAAATGAGCAGTTGGGCCATTTGGCAAGTGACTCAAAATAAGTCCATCTGTTCATTAAAGTTAAGATGAAGCAAACTGTGTATCTCAGCAGACCAGAAACTTGTAAGTGCACTTGTGGAAATCAAGGTTATTAACATTTCTTAAGCTCTTACTCTAAGGTTTACTATACACAAGTTATAACCAACCAACCAATTAGTAGCTATTTATTGTCTACCATGAACAGAGAACTATGCTAGATACTAAACGACAAATGAATTAAAGATACATACCTACAACTGGCAGGATTAGTAACCCAATGGCTCTACAAGTCCCAGCTGCAGCAAACTAAGATTACTACCTATACAACATTCCTCAAATCTTTATAGCACCACTTTACTGTAACTTTTCCTTTATTTTTCAATGAGTGAATTCTGAGTACTGCAGAACTGATGACACTGTACAGGAATTTTAATGTATAGCATGCTTTTTCAAATATCTGATTCTTTAACCACTTATCAGTCCAATTATTTACAGTATAACCAAAAATTGCATGTTTTTCATTAATTTTTATAACATAATGAAATACAAAAATGGTAATTTTATCAAATTTGTTCAATAGAAGCGACTGGTTGAAATGACACCTACCCAACCAACACTTTCGATAATCAGTTTGTAAACAAACATGACTCACAGTAAACTGTGAAATGGTTAAAAACTGAACCTTAAATGTATGTCAAAATCAAGTTTCAAGTCTATTTACACGCAGTAAGAAATTTACAAAACATATGTGGCCATTTTTGATTATCTTCAACTTTTTCTCCTCCCACCAATCTTACAGCTTTCACATTTTATTTATTTATTTAGTTAGTTAGTTATTTATCTTGTTTTTTTTCCGGTACTGGGGATCAAACTCACGACCTCGCTCTTGCCAGGCAGGCGCTGTGCCACTGAGCTAAATCCCCAGCCCCTACATTTTTTTTTTCTACTGCAGCTTCTTTATCTTAACTGTCTTAGTTGAGATCCTTGAGATTTTCCACCTAGATTATTAACAGTATCATGGTGGTCCCTACCTCCTGTATTTCAAGTACATCTAGACTAAATTAATGTCTATTTCAATAATGAAGAAAAGTGGTTGACAGCTTAGTCTACAAGATGTCCAATTAATATACTGCAGGTAAAAGGACAACTTTATATAAAAAAAGAATGCAAGCTTTCTGAAGACTACAGATTCTGTAAGTGAAATGTGTGTGCCTGTATAAAATATCTCAGTAAAACAAGGAATGAATGTTTTATTGAAACTATGAATGCCTGCTTCTTGGCAAAGAGTTACTACCAACCTTTAACTGCCCCAAATAAAAAGGCAAGCAGACCTCGCCACTTTATCTTTTGGGGCAATTAAAAAACGGCAGCTCAACACTCCTGCCTTGGCTTATTCACCTCATTCATCCCCTTGGGCCCACTTAAGCGTCTATTTCTGTGCAAAGTCCTTCCTGATATACTCAGGACAGAGTAGACCAGCACAAGTTTATATTATGCACTGTATTTCTTTAATTGTTCCATCCACTGTTATTTTTTAGTTTATGTCTGTTTACTCTGATTTCCCTAAAGGCTGATTCTCTTTCATTCTGCAGCCTTCAAAAGGATTAAAACAATGTCGTCTTAGCTGTAACAAGTGCCTCCTAAAAATGTATACTGAAATAAAAAGGAAAAAAAATCAGTTTATAGCATCTTATATAGAAATACGTACTTTTTGAAGAAAATTATGTTCTGGGAGTTACAGGGAACATTTCTTTATTCTTTCAAATATATTTTAAAAGGGGTGAGGGAAGGGATAAAAACCTTTGAACAAAAAGGATACTTGGTGTTTTACGATCTTCATTGATCACAATTAGATCTGTGAAATCTCTTGAGATGCACTGTGGAATAATTTTTTTTAGAGCCAGTCCTCGTCTGTAATAAACATGTGAGTTGGGTATAACTGTTGAGAGCTGCTGGCAGAGTCTTACTGTTCTCTGTAAAACAAAATAACAAAAAAAATTGCAAAAGTGAGAAAGAATAAAATACTACAAGGCTTATATTCATAAGGAAATGACTTGTGAATAGGAAGGCTAGGGGGAAAATAAAAATTACTGTTGATCTTTTTTCTCTTTAAAATAAAAAAGAGGGCTGGGGTTGTAGCTCAGCGGCATAAGCGCTTGCCTGGCAAGCCTGAGGTCATGAGTTCGATTCCCGGTACCAAAAAAAATGAATAAAAAAGAAAAATGAAAATTATAAGCATTTCATCTTATATCAAGGGTGATCATCTTAAAGCTGAGTGATTTGCAACACCTGAGCTCCACCAAGAGACATGTGGCAAACTGTAGGGATGTTTCTGTGGTTAGTAATGGGAAGAGGCTGGGGACACAGCTAAATATCCTGCGATGAACAGGACAGCTCATCATAACAAAGGACTACCCAGCCCAAAATGTTAATAGTCCTGAGCCTAAGGAACTCTTACTTGAAGAATCATGCTTAGTGAACCTCTTCCCTATCAACAGTTAATTTTTATTTAGCTTACTCACAGGCATTACTTGAAGCAATTACCAATCTCTTCTGAACAGAGTAAACAACAGAATAAAAGGTAACTAAAATTTAAAAACTATACTTATTAATCTATGTATTTACCCCATGGGGTCTATCTGATGTTGTGATGAGAATCTTGGGAGAAGTTTCTCTGTTGAAGTAAGGAGCAAATTCATCTGTAGCTTCATCATAAGCAACCTGAAAACACGGAAGATGTAATTTTATATCAAACAAATACTCTATTGGGTCTGACTATCAATACTAACTACCTAGCTGACAGGATCTGAAGACTGGAAATGGACTAATGTTAATAGCTACCTGAAAAGGCTGGATGATTTTTCCTATAGAATACAAGAATAAAACTAGATAAAACTATCAATAATCATTTTAGTACACAAACTGAGACATGTTTATTCTTGAAAAATGGCTATAAAATAGGCAAGAACATCAGGGATTAGCTTGGCGAGTGAAAGCAATTACGTATAGGGTCATGGTAGGTAAGAAGCAACAGTTTTGGACTTGGAGGTGGTGGACTGGATCAGGAAGGGGAGAGTAGATCAGGTAGAGGTAACAGGTCTAATTTTCAACCAATTATTAATTTATCAGAAACAAAAAACATGATGCATTATCAGGGGAAAGGCAGTCAACAGTTGCTGAATGGGTCCAGATGTTGAATTTAGCAGACTTCAAAGCAGCACTAATTAATATATACAAGGATTTAAAGGAAATATGGACTAAATAGACAATCTGACATGGTAGGAAAGTCAGTAAACCTGAAAATTGACTAACATATATGATCTGGACTGAACAGAGAAAATAATCATAGAAGTAAAAGGAAACTGGAGAAACCTGTAGGATGATGTCAAACATTTTGATAGTATCTGTAAAGGTAACTTCCAGAGAAAAAGAGAAAGGGGCAGAAAAAAACATTTGAAGAAATAATGACTGAAAATACCATATGAAAGAAAAACACCAACAGATCTACAAAGCTCAGCAAATCTCAAGCAGGATTTAAAAAAAAAAGAACAATACTTTAAACACATTATTGCCAGACTGCTGAAAGCCAAAACCAGAAAAATTTTAAAAGAAGTAAAAGGAAACATGATGAGTGCAAATAAAGTTAAAATGCAGTTGAATTGTGTGGTCAAAGTATTAAAAAAAAAGTCAGCCAAATATTTTATATTCTATGACGTTTTGAAAAATGAAGGCCAAGGGCCGGGGATATAGCTCAGTGGTGCAAGCATCTGCCTGGCAAGCGCAAGGTCCTGAGTTCGATTCCCGATACCAACAACAACAACAAAAAAAATGAAGGCCAAAAAGGCACATTTTCAGATAAACGAGATTGAGATAATTAGCAGCTATTAAACCTGCTGTCAAAAACAGACTACAGGAAGTTGTACAAACTGAAAGAAAAAGACATTAGATGGTAACAGACCAGAACAGAACTGTAAATGGTAAATACATAGGTACATAAAACTATGTACTTATACTCTTAATTTCTTTGAAAAATTTCAGGTTGTTTGTGCTAATTATAACACTAGGTTTATAACAGTACATATAAAATTAATAGCAGGAAGAAGGTGGAGGAAACAAAGCTGTACTACTGCAAGCCTGCTATACTGACACCAGAATTGTGTCAGTTTGTTTAAAATAGACTTTAACAAAGATGAATGTTGCATTTTTTTTTTGTCACTGCTGGGGAATGAACACAGGACACTGGAAATGCTAGACAAGCAGCCCTCTACAACTGAGGTAAACTTCCAACTCTGATGCATATTGTAATTCTACGAGCAACCACTAAAAAATAAAATTAGCTTTAAAAATGGCATACTAGAAAATTGTTTAATACAAAAGGAAGTCAAAGAAGAAAGGAAAAATTAGAGATTTTCTGAGAAAAAAGCAAAATGGCAGATATAAACCTAAATACATCAATAATTGACATTAAATATGTCAGACTGTATACAACAGCAAGATCCAGCTATCTAATCTGCATAAATGATACATTTAAAACTCAGTCATAAATACACTGAAAGTAAAAGCATTAAAAAATGCACCATGCAAACAGTACCTATGAACAGAGTTTAAGTGGCTATATGACAAAATAGATATTAAGAAATACTGCTAGAACAGCAGTGAATCCATGACATGTCTGTTACTGTGCTTTTCTTTTAAGACAATAATGTTAACGTATGAGTTGTTTTTTCTAAACCAGAACTTCAGTATTCAGGTTTAACTGCAGTGTTGGCATGTTGTGATAAGTAAGTGGGTTTTGGGTTGCAGTTTGGCATTCCATCTCTAAAAGATTCACCATCACTGTGTTAGAGACAATGAGGGATATTTTAAATTGTATTAAGGGTCAGTATATCAGAAAGATGTAATTATATATTTATGTAATTTATATAAAAACATAATTACAAATATATTACACACCTACCAAAAGAACTCTGAAAAGACAAAAGCAAAAACTGAAAGTACGGAAGAAACAAGACAATTTCACAAGTGTAGGTGGAAACTTCAAATGCTCCGCTCTCAGTAACTAATACAACTAGATATGAACCACACCATCAACCAACTTGAACCAACTCCTATATATAATAATCCAACTCAAGCCAACAGAATACATTTTTCAAGGGCTATGTCAAAAATTCTTTAAATTAGACCACACGCTAATTTTTCAATGTCTTTAACTGAAAAAGACAGATATCAAAGTATGTTCCACAACCACAAAATAAATTTAGAAATTAGTAAGAAAGCAATCTGGAAAATCCTCAAAAATCTGGAAATTAAGGAACACTCTTAATTGATAAGCCAAGAAAGAAGTCACAAGAGAAATTACAAAACATCTTGAACAGAATGAAAAATAAAGATACAACAAACATACCAAACTTTATAGGCTATAATTCAAGCAGTGCTAAGAGTAAAATTCAGAGCCTTAAATTGTTACATTAAAAAGAGAACTCTAAAAGAAATAATCCAAGCTTCTATCTTAAAAAGCTAGGGAGGGGCGGAACACAAATAAAACTTCAGGTAAGCGGAAGAGATAATAAAGACCAAGGGAAAAGCAATGAATTAAAATATACTGGTGGGACACAGAGTTTGACTAATGGGTACCAACATACAATTACATAGGAGGAATTAGTTCTAATGTGCTATTGCAGAGTAGGGTAAATATAGTCTAAAGCCATTTATTATATGTTTCAAAATAACTAGGTAAGAGTTTGAAAGTTCTCACTCCATAGAAATAATATTTGAGGAGACAGAATGCTAATCACCATAATTTAATCATTAGGCGTTATGTATGTGTCAAATTATCATACTGTACTCTGTAAGTAAATGTCAATTAAAAATTTTTAATCAAGCAAAAAAAACCCCTAAAACTAATGAAATTAAAAGAAATCAACTCTGTTAGAAGCGATATTCAGATTTAAACATAAAGAACCACATTTTAAAACTTGTGTGATATAGCAAAATTGGTACTTAAGAGTGTAGTCTTGATTGTGCATATTGGAAAAGATGAAAAGTGAATCAATAAAGTAAACAAAAGCAGACGGAAATAAAGTAGAAGGATCAATGAATTAGAAAATAAAGATTTAGTAGAGCAGATTAAGGAAAAAAGTACTTTGAAAAGAATACAAAATACAGTGTATGTATCTCTGGTAAGAAGTGATTAAGAAAAACTTCCAAATAAATAATACTAGGAATGGAAATGAGACATTCTTGTAGTCTCACTCATGAACATTGATATAACATTAATTCTAACCAACGTATTAAAAACCAAACAGAATGTACAGGAAAAACAGAAAACACCATAACCGAAATGGGTTGATCTCAACAATGAAAGATATTTAAGATCAGAAAATCCTTGTATGTTATTTAGTACACTGCTGTAATACAGGAGAAAAACCACATGTGATCTCAATATGTGCAGAAGAATCTAAACATTCTACTCACTGATGATAAAACAAAACCCAATAAATGGAATTTCCTTCACCCATAAGGAGAATGTATCACTAATGATGTAAACATTAAAGATGATGAATCAAAAGTATCTTTAAAATCAGAAGCATGGCAAAAATAACATTATTGATTTTTCTATTTCTCATTATGTTAGACACAGAAGTGAGAAAAATAAAGCATTCAAGGACTAAAATAAAAAACTATCACTTGTTGAAATTATTATCTAACATACAAATGAATATTCAGATATATTATTAGAAATTAGTTTAACTTAGCTGTGGCTAGAAGTCCAAAAATCAACTGTGATTTATAAATTAGCAAACAAAACCATTTACAGAGAGGTGCAATATACTAAGAGAAATCCTAAGATACTCAGGAATAGCTCTAACAAGATTTATTTGTAAAATTAAATGTATGAAGAAAATTATAAAAATTATTGAATACATTTTCAGCATTTAAAAAAAGATCTAACTAATACAATAGAGATCCCCAAGTTGGTCTGACTTAGTGTCTCTTACAATTTTTATGAAAAGCATAGGCCCAGAAAGACCCAGAACAATTCTGAAGAAAAGAGGTGGCGAGTGGGTGTGAGAGGACACCTCATCTTTACAGATATCGAGACTTAAGAAATCAAATAATTAAGACAGGAAAGAAATGATGCAATGACAAACTGACAGACCAAATAGCTCCCCAAACCCAAATATATATGGATATTTGATATATGACACAGTACTGTACGGTACTATGGGGTAAAGTTTCACTACTCTAAAATTTGTGCTGGGGAAAGTGATTATATACATATACATGCAAGAGATTAGGGGTAGGAAAGAAGAAAGTAACTGAGTTTTCTTTCTCATACCAAATAGAAAATTCCTAACAATTAAGTACATGAATGTGAAAGGCAACCCTTTTTTGGGGTGCGGGGGAGAACTTATGGTCATGGGATAAAGATTTCTTGAATACGACATCAACTGCATTAAATATTAGAACATTTTAAAATTTGAATCATGTTAATATTTTAAATATCCTGTCATGGAGGCACTAGGAGGAATGGTTTAACTAGCCTCACAATTTCAGGAGTTTGGTCCATGGTCAGCTGGCCCGCTTAGTTCTTGGTGGCTGGGAGGCAGGACAGGCAACAGTACTAAAAAGGGCCAAGGGACCAAATAAAGGCTCCAAGATCATGCTTCCCTGACTAATCTAGACATACCCATAAGTGTACTTTATTAATTCCCTGGAAGACTCTCAAACCAAGCAAGTGGGTAATCTAACTTACCAGTCACAATTAAGACCTTCTGTCCCTCCAAAAATACCACGTAAGGTCAGAGAATCATAAATTGATTTTGGTTTTGGTTTGGGTTTTTTGAGACAGAGTTCCATTCTTTAGTTCAGGCTGGCCTTGAACACATGGCAATCCTCCTGCTTCAGCCTCCCAAGTGCTGGGATTACAGGCATGTGCTATCACGCCTGGCTGAGAATCCATAAATTGGAAGAGGTCCTTAACACATATAAAAATTAGTATCCAAATTATATGGAAAATTTATACAAATCAGTAAAATACACTATATGATAGAAAACTGGGCAAAAGACATGAACTAGTATATCTCTGAAAGAAAACAGTACATATATGTAAAGACATTAACAAACAGGGAAGTACAAATTTAAATCACAATGAGACAACTCTACCATTAGTGTGAATATAACAACAGTTGGTCAGAAATGATGAATAAAAATGAATAAAATGAATAAAAATGAATAAAAATAGGTGAACAGAAATATTGCTCTAGTACTACTATGGCAGTATAAAATAATCCAACCACTTTGGAAAAGATTTTGGGACTAACCTGTTAAGTTGAATATTTGTCAACCCCAACAAATTCTCCAGTAGGTAAAAATTCTAAGAAAATTTTTACATGTATGTACACTCTGTATGTCTCCATACTTGTCTCCTGCTAAGATTTTTCTTGACTTCCAAACTCACAGCTCAGCTGTCTGATTGTCTTTTCTAAAAATTCTTAGAAGTCACCTCAACAATACATCCAAAACTGAACTCTTGATTTCCTCCTTAAATCTGCTTCACCCACTACTCCATACTTAGGCAACGGACAATTCTATTATTTTAATTGCTCAGACTATCCCTGATAACATTTTTTGAATCCTCTTTTTCACACTCCATAACCAGTCTATCAGGAAATCCCAGTGCCTCAAATTTCAAATACCTGGGAATAAAAATAAAATTCAATCAAACCAGTTGTCACCACTTTCATTGTAACTATTTTACTCTAAGTACTCATTATAATCTCTGTCCTGCAAATAGTAAAATTCCTAAGTAGTCTGCTTACCCCTCTAATTATATTCTCAGTACAGCAGGGACTCACATTTAAGAACTGTCTGATCACATCAAGTGTAAAACCGAAGTCCTCACAATGGCAAATAAGATCATACTTTCCTGGTACCTCTTCTACAACTCTTCCCTATTCAGTTAATTTCAGTCATACTGGCTTCATTATTCTTCAAAAGCATATTAAGTATAATCCTGTCTTAGGGCTTTGCAGTAGGCATTTTCTCATCTAAAATTGGCTCACTTCCTTGTATCTTTCAAACCTTTACCAAAAGGTCATCTTTTCATCAAGACTTATCCTGATCATCCTATATAAAATTGTAACCGTAACAACAGAAAAATGAGCAAGAAATGAAACAATTAGGAAAGAAATGGAGAAGGGGAAAAAAAGATGCTCAACTCATTCATAACAAGAGAACTGCTTATTAAAGTATACTGTACACTAAGATATAATTTCTCTATCTGACTGGTTTTGTTTCTTTTGGTCTTTTTTTTGAGACAGGGTCTCGCTCTGCAGTTCAGGCTGTCTTGAGCTCACTTTGTAGCCCAGGCTGGTCTCGAATTCGCAACAATCCTCCTGCCTCAGTCTCCTGAGTGCTGGGATTACAGGCATGTGCCACCACGCCCGGCTTCTCTATCAGACTGGAAAAGAATTCTTGTAAAATCTTGAGTGTAAGTTTAAGGAATAATACCTAACTTACATAATCTCAAAGTATCTGCTCCAAAATATCTAGTAATTACATAAAGAAAAAACTGTAACCCCATAGTGGAGAAACTTGGTAAACACCACCTTAATCAAGTAATCACAGCTAACATAAACAGAAATAGGAATATCAACATCAACATCATGTGGTTCCTGATAAGAGGCACTTAAAAGTATATATATAACATTACATCTGCAGTATTCCTCCAGATGTGATACCAAGGGCACCTAAGTTGAATATAACCAGAGGAAACATCAGAGAAACTCACACTAAGGGACACTCTACAGGATATCTAGTCTACACTCTTAAAAAAATTGTCAATGTCATGAAAAGCTAGTGGCTGAGGCATTCAAGTTAAAGGAGGTTGGAGTCATTAAGATGGAATGAAATACATAACCTAGAACTTTCCTTTTGCAAAAAGAAACATTACTGGGATAACTAGTAACATCTGAATAAGATCTACTATAGCTTAGATATTACTGTGTATCACTGTTGTCTGATTTTGAGCTGTACTGTGCTTTTTAAAAAAGCTTGTTTATAGGTAAAACACAGAAGCATATAGAAACAAGAGGAAACTACGTCAGCACTTTCAAGCAACTTGGAGAACATAAAGGAAAACCAATTGTGGTACAATATAATATTTTGGAAACTTAGGTCAAAGATGTACATGAATTCCTACTTTTTATTAAATCTGAAAATATGTCAAAAAATCAAAAGCAAAATCACACCCCTATATACATAAAACTGTAAACCTTCTTTTACTCCAAGTAGTCCTAAATTTACTCTTTTAAACTATTACCTGCTAGCATGACTAATTTATTTTACTATGTTTATCTTCTCCCTCCCCTTTTCTCTCGTGTGTGTATGTGGTCACTGATAAATTCCAAGTCTTTAAAACAGACACCAATACACTGTACATAATCAATAAAGATTTGTTAGAAGATGGACTGCCTGAAAGAACAACTATACTGGAAGATACGTGAAAGAATGTTGATTGCAGTTATTGTTTGAAAATAAATATTACAAACCAAATTTCTATTGTGAAAAATTTTTAAATATTGAAATTATAAAGCCTTTATTTACTGCACTGTTGCAAAGTATTTAAAGAGAAAACATTCAGAGTGGATTACCTTGAAAGCAAGAGTTTAAGTGCATAGAAAAATACCATCAAAAGCTACCATGAGAGATCAAAATACCTAACAAATACTATAAAAATTTATAGTAAAAAGGATTCTTTTAAATATATTAAACAGAGAATTCAGAAATTAAATGACAAATGTAAAAGTTTACCCAGTCATAGCATTCAATGCATTGGTAGAAAGTGCTTAGTGTATTTTTCTACAATATTATTGGGAAAATCAATTATGAAGTAATGTGGCAAATATGACAGCCAACATTATGGCTGGATCTACAGTACATTACATAATTCTGCCAGCCAGCACAATGTTAACATTATCAGCATGTCACTTATTGAGGGTGATCATTTAAATTCATTTAAGACTTCTGACATTATTACCTCCTCATCATTAGGGTCTACTGTAGTTTCATCATAGACTCGTTGGTTGTCAATGGTCTTGGGTACAGGTTTTGGTGGAGCCTAAATAAAAGAAAAAGGTAAGTTTTGGAAGCATTTTACATTAGTTATTCTACAATATAGTTGGGGAAAAAAGAAATCTACAACTAACTCCCAAACACAATCTTTATTTCAACCTATTTCTGCTGTTATAGTTCCAACAATTCTGACTGAAAAAAAATTGAATAATATTTAACAATTTGAGAAGAGACATATACATATTGGAAGAATGGCTAATTTGAATTAAACAGCTTAAAACTAGCCAGAAGTAGTAATACAAGTAAGTATCAAAATAATTATCCATCATTGAGGGGAAAAAAAAAAAGAAAGCAAACAACTGAATGGGGGAAAAAAAAAATCACAAAAGTCTATATATATTAGACTTTATTTCTATACTTCCAGAAAGTTATTCAGAAACACATAACAAAAGTATATTCACTGATATGAACTAGTAATTCTACTCTGGTTTGGGGAATTTATGGTAAGTAAAGATGGGGCAAGGGATAACACCATCTGTACAAAGAAACACAAGTTATCACTATTAATAATGAAAATAAATAGCAAATAGAGCAAACGTCCACCAACAGGATAAAGATTAAGCAATTATACCATCAGCAAGATGGGATACTATTACAATCAGCAGTCAGCTATACTCAGCTTAGAAAAAGAAACTAAAATTCACTGGCAAGGAGCAGGAAGAGAACTGTAAGAACACACTAAAACTAATTCATAATACATGTACATTTGCAAGATGAGTAAAGTATACACCAATAAACTATTCTGAATATTTTTTCTTACTCTATAAACAAGTTCTATAGTTTTCCAGTCCAAAAAATAAGAACTGTGATATTTTCAAATGGTGTTTAGCATATTAATTTCCTATGACTAATTATTGAAGAATTTCAAAGATACTAACATTGCTTGATATATTAAAACTTTAGCGGTCAAACAGTCTTAATACTGACAATTTCATACAATTTAACTTAATACTATTATGAGAATACATGAAAAACAGAGCATCCACTTTGTATATATTAATAATATTTTTCCCTTCCTCAAAAAACCTTATTCATACTTGGTACCTGTTACAATTTTTGTCTAGATGTCCCTCCAAAGCCTCATGCAGTTTTACATGGGGCTTTTTCAGAGGTGGTTGAATCTAGAGTATATAAGTGATTCATGGTGCAATGCTGGGATTAAGGGTGAGTGACTGCTGGATTAGTCCACCGATTGGATTGGTACTACCCTAGTCCTGGTACTCTGGATAAAATAAAAGGGGCAGAGAGATGCTGTTAAACTTCCTTGTTGCTTTTGCTGTCTTTCACTGTCATGAACTGTTGCCCCTCTGCCATGTTCCACCCTGCTTTGGGGCCAGCCGATGATGGACTGAAACCTCCACAAACTATGAGATAAATAAAATCTTTCCTTCTTTAATTTTGGGTGTGGGTATCTTGTCTCAGCAATGAGAAAAGTAACTAAGACAGTACCTTTTAAGAGGTAAGAATGGGGAGAACTATATGTTTTTAAAATTTTGCAAGCATAAATCACAACCAAGGAATATGTGTAAGTAAAATGAAAATAACTTAGCCATGTAACAATGTAGGAATACTTGGTAGTTCCTCTGAAATATTTCACTTAACACAAAAATAGCCAGATCCTTTCTTGATATACTGTCTGTTCTTTGCCATAATCCATCCAGGCCTCAGCCACTTTTCACAAGGTCATATCTTCCGCATTGGCTCTCCGCATGTGACTCCACTCCACACAGAAAAGGCTCTGCCTGGCCTTTCCACTGCCTTGCCTAACAAAAGCCTTACTTCAACCAGAAGAGCTAGTCTTGGACCCTAACCTGGATAATTTCCCCCCAAAGTTAGAGAGAGGTCTTTCTGCCTCTCAAGCACATAAAGTGACATAAAACACCATCACTGGGCTTACTGTTTAGGTATGCCAACATACACAATAACGGTATAAAGAAGCATATGGGGAAAATAAAAAAATTTCGTGAATGCTCTCTTTGGAGGGGGACACCAGCAGAAAAAGCAGGAAAGGGGATTTCAATATTTTATGCTAAGCAGGGTAAAAAGGATAGAAAGAAATTTGTGTTTTGTTGTACCTTCTTACACACCTGAAATATTTCATAAATTCTGGAAAAGTAATCACTACAACATCAAGAAACATTACTTAATATAAGAAAGCAGGTGGCTAAAATTTTGATTTACCTTATCACCAAGAGCTTCTCTCTCTTTTTTAAGTTTTTTCTTAGCAGTCAACTTTTCCTAAAAGGTTAAAAACAAAAGAACAATACTAAGAAACCACTGGCTGTGTCACAAACACACTGATATTATAAATGACTAAGTCTATGAATATTCTGCCTGGGAAATAGTGTACTAAACTAAGCATCCAAACACAGATTTTTGGTAAGTAAGTTACTGTAAGTCAAATGAGCTGATCAATAAGACTTATTTAGCAAAGATTTCACTTGATCGAAGTCTAAATTGGCAAGGTGAGCATTTAGAATTCCATTAGCTTTAACTTTTGCTGTAATATTTTAAATTAAAATTATTGAAAGTGCAAAATGTATATGTAAAAAAGTAAACAAGTTTTGGTTTTCTTAAACATTTACATACTAATGATCACAGTTATGATAGTTGTTTCCTTTGGAAAGCACTCAGATAAACAGAAAAGGAAACTGAGTTTTTAGGTCGTTTCCAATAAACCTACCATTAATAATCCTCATTTTTTTCTAATCCTATTTTTTAATCAAAATATGCTTTTAAAATTAGCAACAACTCACAAGGTTAGGATTATTTATTACAAATCTGTAACTTCTGATTTCTAGACAGAATGCTTGATACACAACAGAAAATACTTTTTTCCAATGCCTACTGACCCTCAACGCACAGGTCTCAGGTTTGAAACCATAGTGCCAACAAGTATTCCAGGAAATCTCTCCCTTACACTTGCACACCAGATGGGTTATATGACCCTGTTATGTATTTCAGTAGCCCTTTGGCACTGAATCAAGAATCAGTCCAGGGTCCCAAAAACTGTCCTAAGAGGCAAGTACAAGTATTATAGGTGAACTTCTATGATATGCAGAAATAATTAAATGCTTTCTTCCATTAGCAATTTCACTACAAAGGAGCACTACGACCTGAGGCAAGTCGTTTTTGTTTTGTGGTTTTTTTTTTTTAATCTTTATGTGGTAGCAGTAATTGAACTCAGGACCTTACGCTTGCCAGGCAGGAGCTTGTGCCGCTGAGCTATATCCCCGGCCCGAGGCAACTCGTTTTAAACCTCTCTACCTGTGTCCTGTTTGCCTCCCATAACAGTATGAACATGACTACTAGAAACTTACAGTACTGACTTCAGTAACAGTTACTGCATCAATAGACAGTATTTTGGATTTCTTACGTATCGCCTGTACCACATGTTCTCTAGGTTCACCAACTTTGGGTAGGGTTGGCAAAACACAGGGGCTGAGATTTTTGCCTTCTAGCCGAGAGGGTAATTCTCACTAGGAGAGTAAGATTTCTGACTTTCCCTGAGTGGAGGACTCTAGGAAGGAGCCGGAAAGGAAGAGAACCCTCTCCACCTTCACGCTCAGGCTTAAGCTAGTCTCCAAGGCAGACTGAGAGAACCAGGAGCCGTGAGCCACAGGATTACTCTTGCTGATGAACTTACAAGCGCACTTTGTACCGGTGGGGAAGCCGGGCAGAGACCCCAGACTCTTACATCTCCTAATCCTCTTCCACGCCAAAGACTCGCGCATGCGCCCGCTCACCCGTCCCTCGCATACCTTCCGCTGCTGCTGTTTCCACCGCGTGAACATTAAGTGTCGCCGCTGTTTGTTCTTAATTTCCGAAATGCTGAAGCCTGGGGGGAAGGCAGTCGCTTTCGGGGGCTGGACCCCGCCTTCTGTTGCTCCATCCCCGGCGACTGCAGCCTCTTGAGGCTCTGGCATAGCGGCTTTCCTTTTCAAGCTTTTCTTTCCACTGCCGCCACTCTTTACCGTGGCCTTCGCCATGTTGTTTGCTCCGGTGCGTCTACACGGAAACGGAAATGGCTTTTTTTCTGCGACCTTTTCCTTAGTTTTTACTTCCGGGGTCACGAAGGTCGTAAAGAAAACAGTAGACTGTGAGCTGCGAGACATGAGAAGGCATAGGCGACCTGCTCACCAGTATGAATGAGTTCCTGGGCTCCATCGTTATCTGCAGTGTCCCAAACCCTGCAAATTATGGGACAAAGTAATCCTTGCCCTATTTACACTTTTAATTGAAACTTTTATTTACGCTTTTTAGAAGTATATATGCCGGGCGTAGTGGCACATGCCTGTAATCTCGGCACTCGGGCATTATTGAATATAGATGGGGAAGTGCAAAAGAGGTGATTTACCGAGGACTGAACCACGGAACAGTCCTACATGAAGAGAAAAGGAGGACCCAGCAAAGGAGAATGAGAAAACCAAGAGAGTTAAGTGTCATGGAATTGAAGTGAAGGAAACGTTATTGTTAGGAGTCAATTTTCTAGGAACTACCTTAATTTCAAATTTTATGTTCCGGAGTCTTTTTTGATAATCTAATACTTTGATATATTAAAGTTTGTTTCTCACCCATTCATGTTCTTTTTAACAAATTCAGGACATCAGAAGCATCAAAGCTGTATTCCAGCATAGAAGCGCTATCTTTACCTGCTATTAGGTCACAAGCCAAAATTGCGATTAAATAAAACTATCACACTTGGATCCAAAATTGGTTTCGAATTATACAATAAAATAAAAAGAAGAAAATAGTGTTCAGTTTAAAAACCACTGACGTGTGAATTGGCTGCAATAAATCATATTTTCATAAAAGTTTTATTTAAAGAGGGATACTCAGTAAAAGATAAAAAAAAAAAACCCACCTGAGACATAGATGAGATATAGAAGAGGAAGAGACAATATAATCTGAAGACTATATACTTAAGAAATATTGTAGAACCCCTTTTAGTCTGTCAAGCCAAAATTTGATCTATACCAGTCTCCATACCAGAAGCATAAATTTGGTCTAAAGTGGCCTTTATAGTGAACTGCATCCTAGCTTCATTTGTAAACCAACTGTAACCTAAGACTATACTCTTGAAACCAGACAACTGAGTTATAGCAGCTGAACTTCTAGCCAATCAGAAGATTACAACTGTCAATAACATGACCACAGAAATAAGACAAATGACAACTGCAGCCAATCAGGTTGTTTTGGTATTGGGGCTGCTTTCCCTCTGACTGTAAAGCTGTTCTGAACGTGTGGTAGGTTGGAGCTTTCTGAACCAACTTCCCTTTGGAATGCTGCCTCATTCTAAAACCTGTTTCTTGCTCAAGTAAACTTTGTTAAATTGAGCTAATTCCATTTTTAACAAGTCTTAATATTTTACTTCCCTAAAAGTTCTATATCTTTTCATTATAAGAACACAAACGAAATAGATTTAGGTAACTATTTTAAATTATTCAGGGTGTCTTACAAATGAGACCATAAGGTCTTAATACAACATTTTCTTTTTGTTCTTTGCATGCTATTTATAGTAACAGTTGTGTGCATTGAATGAAATGATTTCTATGATCAGAGTAAAATCCGTATTCTGAAGAAGTCACAGTAACACCAATTTAGCAAGTACATATTTAATGGTACTTGTTATATTTTAGGTCTGGAATGTCTCCCAAAGCCTTGAAGCTTTACTTGGTGCTAATGGGAAGTGGTGGAGTATTTAAGAGGTAGGGTCTAGGCCGAGGAGTGAAGGAAACATTAGAGCTTTCAATGATAACAAACAGGCAGCTGTTTCACATATGCCATAGGTTCACCTCCATTGGCCTAGGGAGACATTTTTTAGGTCATTCTTTGAATAGATAGTGGGACCCCAGTCTCTCATCTTGCATCCTGGCCAACAGGTGAACAGTTTTGCTTTGCAATCCACTACTCACCTTGCTATCTGGCATTCCCACCAAAGGCATAAAACACAGGTCTACCTGATCATGGACTGGAACCTCAAAACTATGAATGAGAACAACCCTTTTTTCTCTATACATTGACTGTCTTAAATATTTATTACAGAGTCAGAAAGCTAACACAGTACTCAGTAAATGCATTGGGTGAGTGGGGCTAATGGGAACAGTAAATCAGACCTATGTTCAGGCCTTGTCTTAGTTACTTAGCAGCTGTAAAATCTGTTAAATCACATTTTATCTGTGAGCCTCTATTTTTTGATCTGAAAACTGGGGTGAATTATGCTACCACATAGATGATATACAGAGAAGTAAAGCTAATGTATATTAAAGAATTAGACACACTTAATATCTAGCTGCATTGTTATTTCTAGGTGTCAGAAAATGCTAAACAGTGTGAGGCAAAAGACATCATGTTTACCTTAAATAGGGTATCGTTTAGAAAAAGTAGAAACACAAGTCTGGTATGTCAAATGTTGAATAAAGATCAATGTTGATTGTTTCATCAGACTCATTTCAACCATTTGTTCTCACTAATTGCTTCATTATCCATTATCTTCACACCCCATTCTCAATAGAGTGTTATTTTTAAAATAAAATATTTATTTTGAACATTTCCTACTTTTCTTTTTTGCTTACTTGTTTTGATTCTGACGTTGTGGACCCTGAGATTCAACTCTTAGGCACCAGATGAATTCAGTGATATAAACTAAGATCAAAATATTTGATCTATGTTCTTTTTTATTTAATTAATTTATTTTATAGATGAAATGTTTACTAAGAGGAAATTATTCCAATTTTATGTAAAGAGTGTTGATTAAAGATGAAAATGGACAAATGATTATAAGAAATAAAGATTACTATGATTACAAGCCAAAGAAAAGATTTAAAAGTCAATTTAAGATAATCTTCCACATAGAAATAAATTCAAAAATACAAAATAAAATATCAAATCAAGTCCAATAACATTGAGTTTGTACATTACATAAGACAGTTTGTCTCAAATATGTAAGAATGCTTAACATTTCAAAATTTTTTACACATAATGTGATAATATTCTATGTCAATGCCATAAATATAAAATTACTGTCAATTTCAAGTCTCTATCCATGCTGAAATAGTTTTATCATATTCTAGAAACTGTCAAGTGAACTAAGAAACTCATTTAACTAATTACTTAAGCTCTTTACATCAACAAAAACCATTCCAAAGGCATAGATTATGAATCCTTTGCATGTTAATAAGAAATAATCAATTTTGAAGTTGGCAGATTGTAAATTTATAGCATAGTACTGTTCTTTGGTAAACAAAGTAAACCAATGCCTTTTAAACTTGAATTATGTCATATAGTCTATTGGTAAGAACAATCGAAAAATTCTAGAACTCACCTCTCATCCATTGATGCTTCACTACAACCCAAGAATATATACAATGAATGAAAGCTAGACTTTTCAATAGACAGCGTTGGGGAGACTGGATAGCCACATGCAAAAGAATGACATTGGATTTTTATATCATAAATAAAAATCAATTCAAAATAGATTAAAGACATAAATGTAAGATCTGAAATTATAAAATTCTTAAAAAATAGGTTGAAAGCTCCTTGACATTAGTCTTGGCAATGGTTATTTGTATAGCACAGTTAACAAAAGCAAAAATAAGTAGGACTACATCAAAGTGAAAACATCTTCACAGAAAAAGATAAACACATCCAAAGGCAATGTAAAGAGCAAATTATTTGGAAATCTGCTATTTGATAAGGAATTCTTACAACTCAGTAGAAAAATAACCTGAGTAGAAAGAGGGCAAAGGACCTATACAGACAGTTTTCCAAAGAAGGCAAAAAAATGAACAGCACGATTAATCATCAAGTAAATGCACCTCAAAACCATAATGAGATATCATCTCACATTTGTTAGGAATGCTATCATTTAGTCAAAGGATAACAAGTATTAGCAAGAATGTAGAGAAAAGAAAACCCCAGTACATTGTTTTGGGGAATTAAAAAATAGTTTAATTGCTACAGGAAATGGAATAGACATTCCTTTAAAAAAATTAAAGATAAAACTATATTAGGATCCAACATTTCCACTTAGGAGTAATTTATCCAAAGGAACAGAAATCAGGATCTTAAACAGATACCTAAGCTCTCATATTCATTGCAACATTATTCACATTAGCTGAAGTATGGAAACAACTTAAATGGCTATCTGTGTCTGGATAAAGAAGTACTATATGCACACAATGGATATTATTCAGCCTTGAAAAAGAAGAAAATATTGCCATGTGTGAAAATGTGGATGGCCAGGAGAACATTAGGCTCAGTGAAATAAGCCAGACATAGAAAAAGAAGTATTATAGTATTTCACTTATATGTGGGATATAAAATAAACTCATAGAAGTAGAAAGTAGAATGATAGTTACGAGGGGCCGAGGGTAGGGTGAATGCAAATATGTTGGTGATGGAGCATGTGTTAGTTTCCTTCCTGTTTGTATAACTAAATACCGTACCTGAGACAATCAACTTAAAAAGAAGAAAGGTTTATTTTGGCTCACTGCTTCAGAATGTCCAGTACATACATAATGAGTTGACCCCATTGTTTTGAGCCTGTGGTGAGGCAGTATATAGTGGCCAGGAGTACATAGTAAAGCAAACTTCTTACCTCACAGCTCATGGGAAGCAGAAAAAGAGAGGAAAAGACTAAGGTTCTAATATTCCTTTCAAGGACATATCCCTGGTGACCTAACATTCTCCTACTAATCCCACATTTCAAACATTCCACTACCTCTCAATAGCACTATATCATGGTGACCAAGCCCTTAACGCATGGGGTTTGGGAGATACTTATCCAAACTATAGCAGAGTGTATGTCTCAGATGAATAAATTCTGGAAATATATGGTATAGTATGGTGACTACAGGTAATAATACTGCTGTTTACTTGAAATTTCTTAAATACTCTCAACACACAGAAGGTAGCTACATGAGGTGACAGATATATCAGTTGGCTTGATTATGGTGATTATTTCATTTATACCTACATAAAATCATCACATTATACATCTTAAATATATA